TACAAAGGATTAGTTCTTTAAATATTTGCTAAAATTCATAAATTAAGCTGTCTAGACCTAGACGCTTCCTTGTGGGAAGTTTTACTATTTTTACTACTACTAATTCAATCCCTTTACTTGCTATAGATCTATTCAGGTTTTCTATTTCTTCTTAAATCAGTTTAAGTAGCTGTGTCTTTCTTGGAATATGTCCATTTCATCTAGTTTATCTAATTCATTGACATATAGTTGTTCACAGTAGTCCTTTAGGATCCTTTTTACTACTAACCCAAAACTCTCTCTTGTTTGTAATTTGACCTATGTGTTTTAAAGAAAAGTCTATGTCCCCACCAGCATCTCGCCCCACCAGAATAAAACTTCCAGAAAATTCCATTTGAAGCAAATATCAACAGTTACAAAGACCAACTTAAACACACACACACACATACAAAATGCCTTCGGTGCAATTTGTGGTAAACAGTATTTATATCCAGTCTAATCTAGACATAAACTACCTTTTGTCCTTTTTCCTTCACTCTTCAAAAAAACTGGTTTAAAAGTTATACAAATTTTAAAGGAGCTTATGACATTACTCAGATATCCATCATACATAATATCTGTTTCCCAGAGTCTTAAAGCATTTTAGAGATTCAATTAGTGCTTCTGCTCCATTGGTATTTTCAGGTTTTTTTCAGTAGAATTTCATAACTTTTTTCCATGGAGCATATTGAAAAAAAATCAAGCAGCAACATAAAACTTGCTAAAAACCTAAACTCAATTATAGTAAGTTAAGCTGAGGTTTTGCCGTTTGGGGCAACAAAAATGATAGATACCAACAAAAATACACATCCTATATCCCCAAAGTAATATAAAAAACAAATGATTTTAGTTTTGGAGCAAGTGTTTTCTCATAAACCGAGGTACAACATACAGAATGAAGAGGCTAATAAGAAAGGCATTATGTCACACAAAATTTACAAAAGTCGAATCCTGCACACAGTGTACTGCGGTACAACGTCTTCCTAGCCAAAGGCTGGCAGAGAGAGTAGAGCTGGAAGTTCATCATGGCTGAACCCGCAGGAAACAAAGGTGCTACGACCACTTTTGCCCCCTGTTAAGGCCTAAGTCCTCCTCTGCATAGGGCTGTACCCAGTAATAGGTGAGTATTTTTGAGAAGATGCTGGCCTCAGTGCAGGTATATTCTAGTGTGCTCTCTGCCATGTGCTAAGGAGCCTGCCTGCCTCTTTGGGAAAGGCCTGCTGTTTCCCAGCTAGATGGGTAAGTCTGCCCAATTCTGGAGTAAAATCTTAGTAAGACCTTTAGGTCATCACAGATCTAAACCCATGTTCCCCACTTAGTTTGAACAGTAATAAAAGTAGTGTAATTATTTTTCTGTTTGGTTCCTATGCCTATTTCTCAATTTGATCTCAACTTAAAAGAGGAAGAGAGAATTGTCTTTCTCTCCTAAAACTCTGACTCAAGCTGCCATTGTAATATTCCCAAGAATATTACATAAATAAATAGCAGATTAAAGAAAAAAGATTTGTTTCGGGGATGTTGGTTATCATCTGCCTAAAGTCTCTGAGGTAGGCCTCCTTAGAGAAATGGCACATAGAACTTTGGGTCTGACTGTCAGATTTCCAGAACCTGAGGATCATATCCCTAATAAAATAGAGAGAAAAAGGCCCTGGAGTGACAGGGTTGGCCAGGTAGCGGGGGAAGGATGACCACAAGAAACTCATCAACAAAAACTGTGTCTCTGGAAGATAGAGAATTCACCATAAGAAAGTACTAGCAGCATGTTATGTTGTGCTCCACTTTGTCACATTTAATCTCATACTGGATTCAGTTTTCTGGCAGGTAAAGCTGACCATGTCGTGCTGATGTACATACATATAATATGTAAAAATATACGTTAAAATATGTTTTTAACAAGGAGGGTAACAAAGACTAATAATAACTAAAAGATCTGACCCTTAAGATGGTAAAGTAAATCACTCAGAGAGAGAGTGGTTCACTAATTTCTAAAATACCAGTCAATTATGGGTAGAAAAGAGGGGGTCCGATAAAGAAACAGGAGCTGAAGGACTATGAGAGGAGGAAGCCAACCATCAGTGGAAATTGTTGAGACAACAGCAGCTAAGGTCAGGAAATTGTAATAGTTGCTAGGAACAACTCAATCCTCTTGGACTCCACAGAAAGGAAGCAGGACTGTAGATCTGAGGGACAATCTAGGTAAATACTCAGGGGGTAAAAAAAAAAAAATCACTACCCAAGGCTTTTTTGATTCCAGATTGCGGGGTGGAAAGGCAATGGGGGTGAAGGTGGGTTGAGGAACAACAGAAGAGAGACAGAGCCAGACAGAATGTAACCTCTACCAGCAAATGTGTGTCTTTGTATAATCCAGTGCCTGCCAATCTTAGCCCATTGTTCTCAAACAATAAATATTTGTTGAATAACTAATTGGACCAAAGGAATGGTGATAGGTATGTCTTCACTTCGTACAGTACCACTGGGAATTGCACTGTATACAACCAATGAAGTACTTACTGTCTCAGTCCGTGAGCATGCTATTCATTCCGTCATTTATTCGACAAACATTAACTGAGCATGTGCTAGGTTTCAGGTACCGGATACTAGACTCTGGGGAATAAGTGACCACATTTTTCTGCTCTGAAGGGGTTTAGAGGTTGGGGGAAGGCGGGGAGGAGGGGGAGGAGGAAGGAATCTGTTAAAAATTAATATTTAGATGCTATAGAAACTACTGCAACTATCCCTGTCACCCCCGCTCTCTACCCCAAACCCCAAGCTGGGCCTGCTCGCTGCCTGGCTTTCCTGTCAAAGCAGGGAAACCGGACGGTCACGATGAAAGACGTAGTTTCATGAGGTAGCTTCTAGAAAGAAGGCTTTGCTAAGGCTCGATATTTGAAGCAGGCTACTTAAAGTAGTAATTATTGTAAACAGGGGCTTTCACATTACTTACAATGCGCACTTTGTTCTTTTCTCCTCTTTCCTCCCCCAAATCTCTACTTTCTCGTGAATGTCTGGACCGGGTAAGGTCTGCGAGCGACTTCAAGAATGAGCAAGACAAATTCATCCCTTCACGGAGCTCGCACTGTAAGAAGGTTTAGTCAGGGATGAGAATTCAAAATAACCTCCAGCACGGGCAGTGTCCCCACTTCGAAGCGCGGCGTCGCTTCCCAGCCCAGTCAGACCTTAGCCGGCAGCGGACTGGAGGCGTGGCCGAAGGGCGCACGCCAACGTGGAGGCGGGGCCGGTCTGAATTCCAGAGTAGCCAATGGCCACTAGGAGGAGGAGCTTTTGGAGCTGACTGGCAAGGAAACTGACCAATCAGAACCTGATCTAGATGAATTGAGGCGCCACAACCAGAATAATTTGGGGAACTGAAGACAGGTGGCTCAGGGCATTAGCGTTTTACTAATCTGTAAGAAAGCATTCAGTTTTTAAAATAACTATGGTAGAAGGCATATCTTGCCGAGTGGGAAGATGGGAAGTTAGATCACATTATATGTATGGGCTGTTCTAAATTTAAGATATTATGATTTTACCAATTTAGCCTCCAAAAGCAAGGATTGCCTTCTATTTCACTTTCTCACTATCTGTTAATGGCACTACCAATTTCTTTGTCTTATCTGTATCTTATCTCGGCTTTAGTGTGGAGTCAAGCATTAGGTCTTATTGGGCAAGGGTCTCCAACCCCCAGGCTGCAGAGCGGTACCGGTCAGTGGTCTATTAGGAACTGGTAGGCACAGCAGGAGATGATCAGTAGGCCAGCTAGTCAAGCTACATCTGTATTTGCAGCCGCTCCCCAGAGCTAGGAATACCACCTCAGTTCCACCTCAGCTCATCTAGCATTAAATTCTCATAAGAGTACCTGTCCCTGGTGCCAAAAAGGTTGGGACCACTGTTATTGGGTATCCCTCCCAAAATCTTCTCCGGAAATAATACCAGTTTTCTAATAGCTGTAGAGCTATAAAAAAGGTAACAAAGGCATAATTTCTTTAACTTACGATTAAATATTAAGACAGAGTTGCAGGGGCTTTGGAGTTTAACCTCAGCTCAAATCCTGTTTCATTACTACTACCTGTGTCACCTTGGAAAAATTACTCTCTAAGGCTTTTTATCCAAACAATCCAGTAGGTTGTTTAATAGTAGGTCTCTACTATTAAAGGTTAAATAATTAGTATCCATAAAGCACTTAGCAGTGCTTCTGTTAATGCAAATACCAATTGAAACACTCAATAAACAGTAGTTGTTATTAATATAAGTAATAAATACATTTGTATAATTTCATTTTTTAGTTTACAAAAACTGTGCACCTACATTTTCTCATTTAATATTCATAAAAATCCCCAGAGGCAGATAATATGCCTATTTTAGAGATGGGGACAACAAAGAAAAGAGAGAGTAACGCTTCGTCAAGTGGAACTGTCTAGAAGTTGCCCCAGTAGGGAGTGAAATGCCCAGTTACTGGAAGTTCTAGCAAGGCTACCCTTCTACCCTCTCATGATAGATGTAACAGAGATCCCAGCTTTTGAAAGGGTGACTCACTTAGGTGATTTCTGAGGCCCTTTACTTGGTCATTTATTCACACCTACAATAAATATTTATTATCAGAAACTGTTTAAGGATACCGGGATACGGCATGAACAAACAAACAAACGAACAAACGGAAACCTCTGCTTAGAAATAATATGAACGTAGAAAATATGTATATAATATGTAATATAGAAAATAGAAAACAATATTAAAATATGTAGCCTGATATTTTAGTTTTTTTACATACCCTTCGTCTAAGTACCCATTAACTCCCATCATCTTTCCCCGTCTTCTCCCCAAACTTAGAGTATCAGGAACTAGAAAATTCTGTTCCAGTTCGTGTGCCACGAAATCTAGAAAAGTGAGCGGGAACTTGGGAGTTTCTGCAGTCGGAACCAATGTTTCGGTAGCTGTGATTCTCGGCGGGAAGCCAATTCTGGGGACCGGTAGTGGAACGCTCTGGGGCTCATTTCCGGCCACCTCAGCGGGAAGCGAAGACGCAAGCAGCTAGACCGTGGGGAACCGAGGTAGGAGTTAACTGTTGTAGCGGCGGAGGAAGTCGGGAGGACGCCGACGGCCTTGCGGGCCAGTGTTTGGTCCCTTTAACCTGTGAAGATGGTGTTGCTCACGATGATCGCCCGAGTGGCGGACGGGCTCCCGCTGGCCGCCTCGATGCAGGAGGACGAACAGGTGAGATCCCCACGACGCCAAGTCCCTGCTGGAATGCTGTGCTCGCAGCACCGGGTTCCTTGGGACTCCGGGAGACCCTTGCGACTTCCCAGGCACTCCCGCCCCTCTCGAAGTGCCCTTTTCTCTTCTACCTGTTAGAAGCAATCTGTCCTGAAGGCAGAGGTAGATTTTGGGTGTTACCTGTTTCTCCTAAAACAAAACAAAACGAAACTCAACTCTCTGGAAACGGGGTAGGTTCAGCTGATTGTGATCGTCCAGCGTTCTGTAACTGTTTAGGAACTTCGTTAAAATTCAGGATTTCTAATTTTCTGCTGCTAATAAGGTTGACCGACAGGTAATGGGTTAAATTAGCTCCTGAGTTCTTCAGCTTTAGCACCTGATCCTTGACCTAGCTCGCTGTCTTTTGAAAGTGGATGAGGTGATATTTGCCACGTATAGGCACCTTTTGAACTTCGGTACAGTACCTTCTTTCAAGCTTATGCCCAATTCCCACCTCCGTCCATAAATTCCTACTGTTGGAATTAGAATCCCGTTACGCTTTCCACCTGTATCGTACCATTTTTCTTTGTCTTTTAATAGAGTTTCTTAGCAGGCAAACGACAGATCTTAGTCATCTTTGCGTTTCCCATAGCTTTTACAGTAGCAGCTTTATGCTAGTAGGTGCTCAAAAAATGTATTGAATTTACTAAAAAACAACTCCAGATATCTTGACAGGGAACCACATCGTGCCTTAGAATCTCAAGGAAAATTTCTGGTGTGAGACAAGTTTTTGGAGCAAGGTCGGGAGGTCCCTGAAGAAGAGAGGCTGACAATTAAATTTTTATAACTTATTTAAAGTAATCAATTTTATTTTGCTTTCTCATGCAACCTAAGTAGTTTTAGGGGAAAACTCTCAAGACCTAAAAAAAAGATGAGTTGTAGAAAAAACTTTTTCACATGTCTGTTCTTGGACTTTTCATTCATATATTCATTTAAAAAAAAAACAAACAACTTATTAAACACATAAAATTTACCAGGCATGGTGCTAATGCATAGGATTAGGAGTCATATTCCCAACTTTCATTTCTGTAAAGTTTGGTGGAAAAGCCAGATAACTAACAAACGATTATAATGTAGTATAACTTCTATGGAAGAGGAAGAAGGGTCTGTGGTTGTACATGGGAAAGGTACCAAAATTGATTTGGGAGATCAGGTACGTCTTCCCAGAAGAAATGACATCTAAACTGACAGTAGTATTTAGTAATAAGGAAAGCTTCTCTTTGGCTATATGCCTTTTTAGGTTTGATGTGGAAATATATTTACTTTTAGAGCAGTGATACAGATTATAAAGTTGCAGGTCATACCAAGTGAAATGTTTTCTGTTCAATAAAACAAAGTTTAAACATCGATATAAAATGTGGGAAAAAAAAAGCATGCCCCAGATTTTCATTGGTGAAATATTTTTCTCTTTTAAGAGTTTTCTAGGACCACTCTGCAGGAGTGACAGTGTTAATATGAATGCAGGGACATTTGAAGAGGGGAGATGGTATGAGGAAATTTTCCTTGAAGGATGTGTCATTTGACTGAGAAATAATTTTCCCAAGTAGGGAGAAATCGGGTCAGTTTCTCAACTATTGCATTGAATTCCAAAATAGGCAAAGAATACAGCGGATTTGATGTCTACTTAGTAGGCCCTTAACTCTCTGCCTTGATACTTTATTTAAAAATTAATTGACATATTATTGTTCGTTTCTTAATTTAATTACAAAATAGGTATCAGTCTACCAAGGTGAGTTGCTTTGTTTAATTGACAAGGAAAGAAATTTGACACAAAAATATTTTTGTGATTGTAATTCCATGGTGATTTCCTTTAGAAATGTTGGCTGTGAATGATAAAGTCTTAAACTTTTAATATCTGCAAAAATATCAAGTCTAGACTTATTGTTACTATTATAATAGTATACAGAACATTTATGGAGGGTCTACTACACCAAGCACTGTGCTAAGCCTATTAATTGCATGATTTCATTCACTTTTGTACCAATAGGTACTTTTATTATCCTCATTTATAGATAAGGAAGCTCTGAGGATTAGAATATAGGTCTCTTGGGTAAAGCCACACATCTAATAAGTAGCATAACAGAATGATTTTTTTATCAGGGTTTCTTAACTTCAACACTATTGGCATTTTGGGATGGATAATCCTTTGCCGTAGGAAATCCTGTGCATTGTAGGATGTCTAGCAGTATCCCTGGTCTCTGCACCTTAGATGCCAGTAGCACTGCCACCACCCTCCCTTCAGGTGTGACAACCAAAAGTATTTCCAGACATTGCCAGATGTCACCTGGCATGTGAAAAAATCAGTGCTGATGAGAACCACTGGTTTTTAATTAGTATCTGTCTGACTCCAGATCAGAGCCTCAGTACGTAACTGCTACACTTTACTGCCTTATTTTAAGACTTTTTAACAAGGTGTTTACTTCTTAGGAGTCCAGAAGTAACTTTTTAAGAAATGGATATCTTGACCAAATAATTTTATAGTTAAGTACTTAAGTCCAGGTCAAATAATTCAACTTTTTCAATTATTAACACTGATAATAGATACCATATTTTAGGAACTAGTCACAGTACAAGCTGCCTTATTATTGGAGATGAGTGGTTGTTCTAATAATACATTAGAGAGTAAAATCAAGAAATAACATAGGCAGAGTGTCTTATGCACTCTGTGCTTAACTAGGAATGTAGAGCTAAGGTAGGTAGAGAGATGGAAGATAAACTTATCTCTTCAAACCTGGATTTCTTCCTTCCTGCTGTTTCTCCTTTTCAGATGTTTGTAATTTTTTCATCTACCTTTCTGTTCTATCTCAAAATGAACCATATTCTCTTCTCTTAATTTGATATTATTTCTTGGTACTTTAGTACCATTTCCAACTTTATTTGCATTTAAAAAAAATCTATTGTTGTGGGGTCAGAACTCTTCCAAATGCCACATAATGGCATGGTGAAGCAAACAGACTGGCAAGTACCATTCAAATTTAGAAACGTAGGATATCATGCACTAGCTCAAAGCATGTGATAGTATTTACTCTCCTTTGCTAGCTGACCAGTCATGGGAAAAATATATATATATATATATATAAGTAATACTGGTTAATGTGATAATGGTAATATATACCATAATGTTAATTATTTTAAAATATTGCTAGTACCTAAAACTGTGTGTATGTAGACGTATATACACATACATATATACATATATATGTTGATGTAGAGCTATTTCTCAAGTGAATAGCATTATAACAGATCATTGCCATAAGGACAGTATTAAAAGATAAGTCTCCAAATCGATGCTTCTAGTGGTCTCTGCCTAACTCCCTTGGTTCACCTCATGCTTGCTCATTTACTTCCTTGTTCATATTTAAATTTCCACTTTACCATTTTATTTTATTTACTTCTTATTGAGGTATAATTGACATATAACATTATATTAGTTGCAGGTATGCAACATAACGGTTTGATATTTGTACGTACTATGAAATGGTCACCACAGTCTAGTTACCGCCCATCACCACACATAGTTACACTTTTTTCTTTTTTTTCTTGTAAGGAGGTCATTTAAAATTGACTATCTTAACAACTTTCAAATATGCAGTACGGTATTATCAACTATAGTCACCATGCTGCACATCATCCCCATGACTTCTTTATTTTATAACTGGAAGTTTGTACCTTTGACCTCCTTCACCCATTTCACCCCGCAATACCAGTCCTGTTCTCTGTATCTCTAAGCTTGGTGTTTTGTTTCGTTTCATTTGTTTTGTTTTGTTAGATTTCACATGTAAGTGAGGTCATATGGTATTTGCTTTCTCTGACTCATTTCACTTAGGGTGACGCCCTTTATGTCCATCCAAGATGTTGCAAATGGAAGGATTCCATTTTTTTTTAATAGCTGATTGGTATTCTATTGTGTAAATGTTCCACTTTTTCTTTATCCATTCATCCACTGATGGACACTTAAGTTGTTTCCATATCATGGCTATTATAAATAATGCTGCAATGAATATAGGGGCGCATATATCTTTTCAAATTACTGTTTTCATGTTCTTTGGATGAATACCCAGTAGTGGAATTGCTGGATCATATGGTAGTTCAATTTTTTGAGGAACTTCCATATTGTTTTCCATAGTATTTATACCAATTTACATTACCATCAACAGTACACATCTTTGCCAACACTTGTTATTTCTTGTCATTTTGGTAATAGCCATTCTAACAGGCATGAGGTAGTGTCCCATTGTAGTTTCGATTTGCATTTCCAGTTCTCCATTTTAAATATAGCTTAGAATCCTATACTTGTACTTTGCTTGTCTGCCACTTACACAATTTTATGATTGTTCTTTATTTTTAGTCTGAGCTCAGTGGTTCACTATCTAGAATTAAAGATTTCACTTTGTACTTTCTCAGAGTTAGACCCCAGAACCAGTTACTGACAAACCTCACATAAACACTTTTCTATTTAAAGATGTACAAGGGGAGACTGTTCTATCATTCCAACCAAAAATAAGTAATCCAAAAATAAAATAATTCCTTCCCATCCCATGGCAAAAGTGTAGAGATGAATAATTAATGTATATTTGCTTCCCGTTCTTCATGTACTTCTTTTCCCTTTTTGATCTAGTATGTTAGTGAAGTATGATTTTCTATTCTTGACGACGCTGCTATTTCTCCCCATAGACTTTTCCCCTCTTTTTAAAAAACAGAATTGTAAAACCAGTAAAAAATTGTTCAGGGAAATATTACCTATCATTCTAGCATCCGAATATTATTATTTTCAATTTTGTTTCCATGTATCCCTTGCTACCCGAACTTTTGCTATCCAGACTTGGGAACCAAAAAGATTTATCAGTAAAGGTTATTTGACTTTCCAGTCTTCGTTCTTACTATTGTTCATTTTTACGTACTTGCAGTTACAGTGTTCTTAATAACTTTCAGTCATGGGTACACATATTTTGTTTTACTGCAGTGCTCAATACTGTAACACTTCGTGGAAGATTTTGCTTGATAGGCCAGCATGAAAATGAGATTCACCAGTTCCTTGTCCCCAGGGTTTTCCCGAGTGTCGAGCACGTTGTGCAGGTCCGTGCCGGTGACTCTGCACCTGTGGTGGGTTCAGGGGAGGCGCTGGTCCATTCGTGGAGGGGGCACTGGCCTTAAACACAGCTTTGCTTCCAAGCAAGTAACTTGTGCCATTTTCTTCAACAAGGAGTTTGTTCTTCCTTTTTGCTCTAAAAGTAGGCCTTTTTTGTTTGATTGTTTGTTAAAATGAATGCTATTAACCTGTAAGTGAAGGACCTTATTTACATGGTGTCCTCATGATCTGATGCTTCGCACTACTTTATGGTATTTTTGTGTGTGGAAAATTCTTGAATGAAGCTATCTTCTTTCAGTCTGGCCGGGACCTCCAACAGTACCAGAGTCAGGCTAAGCAGCTCTTCCGGAAGTTGAATGAACAGTCCCCTACCAGGTGTACCCTGGAAGCTGGCCCCATGGCTTTTCAGTGAGTATGATCCTGATTTCTTTGTGATCATTTAAGTATGAAATGCAGTAAATGTAACACCTATGAGAGTGGTGACATTTTTTTAAAAGTAAAGATAACTTTAAAGCTGCGGTCTCTTTACAGAAGCAACTTCCCTGGTTCTAATTCTGCAAAACTGAAATCTTGGTTTGTTTATTCAACTTGCATACAATAATTTAACCTGTTATCCTGTCCCTAATGAATGCTGCATCCATCATGCAATAAAAGATAGCTTTTTGCTTTAGGAACTTCTTGGAGCCAGACACAGGTAGGTTAGTAGCCTTGCTCAAACATTTACTAACAACATGACCTTGAACAGCTCACATATACTTCTCCAAGCTTCAGCTTCCTCTATAAAATAGGGAAAATAATCATATTTTTATGAGGATAATGAGAAAATCCATGTGTTTCTCTTAACATCTTGCCTGGCACGTAGAGAATAAGAAGTGTCATTATTTAGAAAAAAAAATTAAGAAGATCTTTTAAGAGCATCTCAGTCAGTGGTTATAGATAATACATACATCTGAGAAAGGGATCAAAGGGACTTTATTAGATTTCAAATCATCCACTTATAATTGGTGTTAAATATTTAATACATGTCAAGTTTGAAGGTGATAAAACAGGAAGGATTAAAAAAGAGAAGAGAGGACAAGAAGATCAGAGGAAAATAAAAAGGGATTAGCCGAATCACCTCGCTATTTTAGGAACTCAGATATTGAGATAATATAGACCTGGGAGCAACCTGTTGTGTTTCACTTAAAAGGAAAAAAAACCTCTGCACATTAAAAACAAGCAAACAAGTATACAAAGGAAAACAAAAAACCTTGGCCTATTGGTTAAAGTAGAGGATATTAAGTTTTATAAGATGCTAATTTGCGTATTACAGAAAACATTTTTTATAAATCTAATTTTTAACATCAAAAAAATTATAGGCACTTAATTGTATAGTATCTTTATCTCTACCATAGGTTAGGGACAAAGACCTAGGAAAGTTCTCATGGAATTGAAGAGAGATTTTCTTTTGCTTGGTTCCTTTAGGGCCTTTATAATCTTGTCTCATCCTTTATTTCCATCTAAGAGTTAGTTCTTAAAGATTTATTTCTTGCCAGACCACACATTAAGTCCTGCCTTTAATGTCCATAGCTTTTAATGAGCTTATTACCATAGTGACACATATGCAAAACAACTATACTGTAATAAAACCTCAGGGCAAGAAGTGGTGTCATTGAGATATAAATGAAATGCTTTAGGAACAGAGAGAAGAAAGCAATAAATTCCCTATGTAGGGAGTAAGTTTGAGGAAAGGGGATAGTGGGAGGGAGAATAAAGAGAGATTTCACAGAAAAAAATTATAGTAGAATTGAGCACGTGAAGAATTAACAAGGTTTCTCTGGGTACATCAAAGAGTATTAGGCTTAGAAAATACACGTGGACCAGCCTAGCTTGTTGGAGAACAGCATGTCATTTGGTGTATTAGGATACATGATGGAATGTGGCCCATACTTGTGTTGGAAGGCTGCAAAAGCTATACCGAGGAATGCAAGTTTGTTTTATAAGTGTTAAGAGTTTTTAAGCAGAGTAATATGGTTGCATTTACTTTTTAGGAATAACACTGGTGGTTTAGAAGATAGTCTAGACTGAAGGCAAGGAGACCAGTTAACTCAGGTACCCAAGCAAGAGCTGGGACAACAGCATTATTATTATCAACGTCCTCGTCATCATCATTTTAAAGAGCCTGAGAGATCATACAGTAGATTATAAACACGACTCTGTGGGGTCCTAGGGTGGGTGCCCTGGGAGCCACACAGAAAGGGCAGGAGTAGGAGTATGTGCAGTGCTTTGGGCCCATAAACTCCCGTTTAAACCAAAGAGCTACCGATTTTATTTGCTATTGATATTGGTTTTCCAAATGTAATTTTTGCAGAAATAGTACCGTGGCTAAAAAGACATTTCCAAGAATAACCTCTTTCCAAGAATATTTCAGACATGCGGTCGTATAACAGCTTCTAGAATAACAGGGAGCTAGCTCACTCTCACAAGGGAAAGTCAGTTCTGTTACTGGATAGTGTCCAGTTGATACAGAGTTTTCCTATCCTAGAAATTAGGGAATATTATTAGTCCTGAGGTCATTATTTTCTGTGCCCAGTAACTATTGTGGTTTTAACTTCCAACTATTAAGTACCCACAAAAATTCTGTTTCACTGTTTTTCTTATAGCTGGAAAGAGTTTAAGCGTATACTAGTTTACTGTGCATAATCAAAGGGTGGATGAAGTCACAGCTCCAAGTTTTCAAGAAAAAGTCTTAAGTATTAAGATATTTTAGTTGAAGAATTATGTAATGAATAAACAATTGTCATAAACATGTCTAAATACTCCTTTTTGGAATATACTCCTAATAATGGGAAGTTACTTGCTTTCTGGTTCCAAGGATTTGTGGTTTGAAACTGGCTTATTGCTTTCATTAGCCTCAAAGGGCATAGGCTGCAGTGTGTATGGCTCCGAGAGTCTGCTTCAGATTGTCAGATATTGTTATTCTACAACTGTTTCTTGCTTTTTTTTGTCTCTCCAGCTACATTATTGAACAAGGGGTGTGTTACTTGGTTTTGTGTGAAGCCGCCTTCCCTAAGAAGTTGGCTTTCGCCTACCTAGAAGATTTACACTCAGAGTTTGATGAACAGCATGGGAAGAAGGTGCCCACTGTGTCTAGACCCTATTCCTTTATTGAGTTTGGTAAGTTTTTGCCCCTGACCCTCTCTATCCAGGAAGCGAATAATTATGGAGAAGCTATTTGTTACACTGATATAAACCTGACACAATTTTACTGACATTCACGTACTGAAGTTTTGAATTCTCCCTCTTGCATTCCGCCTCTTTTTGTCCTTTTGAATGAACGAGGCTTCCTACTCTGGTCTTTTGATCTTTTCCGCAGAGAACTTGTTGCCATTTGCCCTTTTCTGTTATTCAGTTTGATTCTTCATTAGGGTCAAGAACTGTGTCTAAGGATCTGCTTGATTGGCAT